CACCAGGAGATGGTGAGTTCTAGTTTCACCTTAGACATGAAAGTCAACTGGGTGACATTGGGTCAATCACCAGGAGATGGTGAGTTCTAGTCCCACCTTAGACATGAAAGGACCAATTACATTGTTCAGTGCAGGGGTGGGATGCAAATATTTTTACTACCAGTTCTGTGGGTTGCCTAGGTGGGAGTGGCTAGCTGGGTGTGGCCATGTGACTGGGTGGGTATGGCTTCTTCTTCTGTTTTGCAGCACCCTCCCCCCTCATGTTCTTGGGCCTCCTGGGCTTCAGGGAAGCCTCCTGGGTGAAGCAGTAAGACAGCGAGGGGGATCCCGGCACAGCTGATCATCAGAACAGCTGATCGTTGGGAGGAAAAAAAAATACTGGTTCGGCTGAACCGGTAGTTGTTTTTTTTACTACCGGTTTGGTCGAACGGTAGCATTTTTACTACCGGTTCGCCTGAACCGGCCCGAACCAGCAGAATACCACCACTGATTCAGTGCTAACTGGTACACAACAACAATCTGCCACACAACCACTCACCGTAAATCCATTTGGGCCGCCATCTTTGACATAGTAGATCCCGCTGCCGGCTTGGAATAAAAAGGTGCCACTTTCCCGGTGATAATCGTAGGAGGCGATCCCAACGGTGCCGATGCGTTTCCTCTCCCGCAGCAGCTCCTCCTCTCGTGAGTACATCCCATAATCCAGGCTGGCCTGATGAGAGACGACAAGGACAGAAGGAACATGCGGGAAAACTAAAACTGTTTATTACAGATACTGTAATACTGCAATACTGTCCTTACTGTCAGATACTGTCTTTGACTTATAACCATCCATTTAGTTACAACAGCACTGACAAAGTGACTTATGACCACTTTTCACACTTACGACCACTGTGTAGCATCCCCATGGTCACATGATCAAAATTCAGACATTTGGAGACTAACTCATATTTATGATGGTTGCAGAATCCCAGGGTTACAGGATCCCTTTTTTACGGCTTTCCGACAAGCAAAGTCAATGGGGAAAGCCAGATTCACTTAACAATCATGTTACTAACTTAACAACTGCAGGGATTCACTTAACAAACATGGCAAGAAAGGTTGTAAAATGGGGCAAAACTCACTTAACAAATGACTCCCTTAATAAGATAAATTTTGGGCTCAATTGTGATCATAGGTCAAGGACTGCCTGTACTAAACTTCATTTGAATTACTTAAAAAACCCTGCTCTTATTTAAGCAATTAATAGTTAAGGGGTTGGACTAGAAGACCTCCAAGGTGTCTTTCAACTCGGTTATTCTGCTCAGCTTCTCCCTGATATCAAAACTGGCGATCCAAAGCAAACAACTCAGACAAAAGGCTATTGATTTAAATTAAACAACAGCCTATAAGAAAGCGCTTGACATGTTTAATAAGTGAAGAAAGTAGCCAGCAAGAAGAACTGTTAGCACTACCAAGATATGAGTCTATAACAATTCACCATGACTAATTCGCCATAGCCAACTTGTTGCAGAACAACTCGCCACGGCCATCTTGCCACAGGACAACTTGCTGCGGGACAAGAGTTACACTACTACCAAAGAAATGGTGGAATAGAATCATTAAAGGATGCAAAAGAAGGAACAGAATAAAATGTGAATGGCAAAAATTAACATATTTTAAATAATTAAATAGAACTGTTACATTGTCCCCAGCGAGTTCTCTGGCAGCGAGTTGAACACAAATTGACTGTGACGAGTTGGCTGTGATGAGTTGGCCATGTTGAGTTGTCCATAATGAGTTGTCCATATTGAATTGGCCATAATGAATTGGCCATGTTGAGTTGTCCATAATGAGTTGGCCCTAGTGAGTTGTCCATGATGAGTTGTCCATGTTGAGTTGGCCATAATGAGTTGCCCGTGATAAGTTGGCCATAGTGAGTTGGCTGCAGAGAGTGGCCATGGTGAATTGGCACTGGTGAGTTGGCCATGATGAGTTGGCCATGGTGAACTGGCCATGGTGAGTTGTCCCATTCACCAAGATATCTAGAGAAAGTTTTAGACACTTTCCACTGATTGGTGTAGCTTCAGAGGCATCGAGACGGGAGGAGGGGTTGAAAAAAATCAAGATTGTGGCTGCAAACCTGCGATTGAAGCCCTGGGTTCCATCTTGACTTTTTTGACCCCTCACCTCCGTACCAAGGATTCATATAGGAATTGTAGCACACCCATAGGATGGGGGGAAAAGATGAGGGATGAAAGAGGGAAGAATAACCAAACAACATACCTGAAAGAGGTCTATAAGAGGCTTCCAAGACAGCAAGAGAATGGCAGCCTTGTTTACAGTTTTGGGGATTTCGGAATAAAAAAGGGTGTTTTCCCTGTTTTCACCAGACATGGCTAAAATGAAAGAAAGAAAGAAAGAAAGAAAGAAAGAAAGAAAGAAAGAAAGAAAGAAAGAAAGAAAGAAAGAAAGAAAGAAAGAAAGAAAGATACTGAATTTTTCTGCTTACTACCAGGGTCCCAAGCTGAAATTGTCACATGGACTTAAAAACCAGCAGGTCCCTTAACCCAGGGCTCTCCAACTCTAACTAAAGTTGCCAAGGTTGGAGACCCCTGCCGTAACCAGTTGATTTATAAATGCATTTATTTGCTAGTAGCTACATCCCATGTCGATCCAGAGACTTATCCAGAACAGCCAAATAAAAATTCCTCATCTCACAAGAGCCATCATTAAGAGAAACAGAACAACTCTTAAGATAAAAAAAGCAGAACCACCAAACCAGGAGGTCCTCAACATTGTGCATCTGAATTTGCAAGCATCTTTGAAGCGACCCAGCAAAGGGTGGATGTGAGGAGCACAGAGTTGCCTTTGGAACTGCCTAGAGAGGCCTTTGGTGAACTGGACAGCATATTTGATAACCAAATAAATAAATTTGTGGGGGTGGGTGGGGGGGAATGACCCCCAATTCCATAAAATGGGCAGGGTCTGAAAAGGCCTGGTTCCAGAGCCTTCATCCGTGAAACCTCTCTTCACTCTAAATTCTGTCCTGGCTTCCTTTGCAATTATGGTTTGAATTTATTATCTTTAAAAACAAATCGACTGTGGATGATACAAAGCAACAGAATAATTATTAAAATCGTAACGATGAGATGATCGGGGAACCTGATCCACCCACATGTTCCAGTTCTCTTTAATTCAACCATGTTTCCTGGTGGAATCCAGGATCTACTTCCTCACAGCACCAGCCGTCTGAACACCTCACGCATACAAGATTTATGCGGCTCTCTTAAACCCAAACCCTTAACATCTCGCTCTATTCTATTTCAAAAGAATGGTACCTGGGCAGTTTGTCCAGAATGATATAGGCTTTCCTGCTTGAGGAGATGGACTAGAAGACCTCCAAAGTCCCTTCCAAACCTATTATTATTCTATGTTCTGTGGTTGAGCAGTGATTGTTTTTTCAAAATGAATGTTGGGTTTTCTTTCCAGATGTTCTGGTTGACCATGTCATTTTTGGATCTCACCTTGTTTACTGTTGCCTTCTCTTTATTGTTGTGCTACACAGCAGGATGGGCTGGCTCATCCATCCCAAGGCAAATGAGTGCATGAATAAATAATAGGAGGCAATCCTTGGGCCTTTACTGCACACAAATAATGTTTGAACAAAATGTAGAAAAGAAAATGTTCTTTCCTAAAATTTGGCTATTTATCGCCATTTGGTTTGCAGCTCATAGGACCTAGGGGTTGGAAGGGGCTCTCCAGAGGTCTTGTAGTCCAACCCCTGCTCAAGCAGGAGACCGTATACCATTCCAGACAAATGGTTATCCAAGCTTTTCTTGAACATCTCCAGTGCTGGAGCATCCACAACTTCTGGAGGCAAGCCGTTCCACTGACTAATTGTCAGGAAATTTTTCCCTATTTCTAAGTTGGATCTCTTGTTTGGTAAATTTCCATTTGTTATTTATTGTCCTGCCCTGAGATGCTTTGGAGAATAGCCTGAGCGTCTCTTTTCTTTTGTGCCTAACATTCAAAAATCTCAGCCACTGGTTCTCTGCCCGGTTGCTGGATGGGCGTGGCCATGGTGGGCGTGGCCTAGTTGGCCTCCTGCACCTTGGCAGCGGCGTGGGGGGAGGCGTTTTTGCCTTCCCCAGGCTCCGGAGGCTGGAAACGGGCCCATTTCCGGACTTCCGGAACTTTCAGGAGGCTCGTTTGTTGCACTCCCAGAGCCTCTTTGCAGGCCCTGCACTTACCTGGCATCTAAAACGGGCCATGTGGAGACACCTGGGAGGGGCGGGGCGGGGTGGGCGGGGCCAGCCGGTTGGTTCAACTACCAGTTCCGTGAACCAGATGTAAAATTAACATCCGGTTCACCCAAAGCAGTCCGAAGTGGCTGAATCCCACCCAATTCTGTTCCTTTCAAGGCAATCAACTCACCCAGATAGTATATCCGGTCTGAATTAGAACATTCCGGATCATTTCTCTTCACAAACGTGAAATTGTGGGGCGTCTTGGCCATCAGGCAGCTGTGGTATTTCCTAGTATCTGCCAAGAGCTTCTTCAGGTGATTCCACGAATATCTCTCCACGTAATACGGCTCCGGCTTGGCCATCTCCTCGATGGCCGCCACATTTTCCTTGCCCTCGGCCGTCTCAAAGATTTCCAGGGTGGGTTGCTCAGTCTTCATGGCTGATCTCATCACACATCTTGGACTCTGAAAAAGAAATTCATCAAAACCCTACTCTACGAAACGAACCTACTCAGCCCTGTGTCTTCCTTCAAGGACTTTCAACCACCTCCTTCCATTCTGAGTCAGGTTGTGTTCTGACCCAAACCCTTTTCCAATAAGACAAACAATAACCAAAGGGAACAGAAACCTTTGAATGAGTCTTACGAATCCCCGGTTAAAAGACTACTGCAAACTAATTAACTTTGAAAAGCACAAATCTTGCCAAAACTGTACAAGATTGCCAAGAATCACAGATAAGGAATATTTCACAACACAAGAGTCTTCAAATACCAACTTAAGATACCGCAATGTCCACCTGAGTTTCAAAACGTCTTTGCTTCCTGCAAAGAACATTCGCTTCACAGCTGGCTTTAATCTTCTTGAAGGAGGGGCCATTACCTTGCAGCCTTACTCCTGAGTCGCCCAGGCTGCTGCAGCTGCTCTTTCTAGCCCTGTGTGCACACGCACTTGGCACAGGCTCCTCGGGAACCTCCTCATCGCTGCTGCCAGCCCCCACAATCTCTGAAGGCAGCAGTCCCCTCCCTAATGGCCCTGGCCCTTCATCTGAGTCCTCGCTCTCCTCAGCTGTCCACACCTGCTGCCGGTTAACCACAACAGGTTGAGGAAACTTGGAGCATCACTCAAAAAGATGGAGAACATCTTCAGGTGATTAGAAAGTTGTTTTATGGTAGGCAAGGCCTACCTGCATTGTAGGTTCCTTTGGTACGTTCCAGAAAGCATGTCCAGTGGTGGACAAGGAATCTCCTGGGAATTGTGACCTGCCACTGAACATTCTTTCTCTCACTTCTGAATTCTCCAGGTTAATCCTCTGGGGTATTAAGTTCATTTTGTATTATTATTATTATTATTATTATTATTATTATTATTATTATTATTATTATCATCATCATCATCATCATCATTATTATCTCCTTTTAATGACCCCATAATCCCTTGCGGGGTGGACTTGGGGCAACTGAATGGAGCTAGCACAGTGTTTTACTGGCTGGATGCCCTTCCTGTCACCAGTGTGGAGTTTTGTCCAGCAGATATATTCTCTTCCAGCTGAAAGTGAGAAATAGCTGCCTCTACCTAGGATTGAACTCACGGCCTCCTGATTGTGAGGTGAGAGCTCCACCTCTGGGCCACTGCATCACTCACTTTTTGAGTGATTATTATGGTTGGTCAGAATCCGCCAGATGTTAGACTGGATTTGGTATTTTTGTGTACCTATTGAGTACTTCCCAAGGATCTGAGGTAGGCAGATGTTGTTTATAACATTTAAAGGTATCATCACATTATTATCTGTTCACAACAACGTAAAATCACAGATACAGAA